GAGGGGGAGGGAAGGAAGGATATTAGGGTTGTAAATGTAATAGTTTAGTTACAGTACATAGTTATCATACGGTTTTGTGTATTATATATATTGTATAAACCCTAAAGCTAAACACGGTTTTTCTCGGCTGAAGATTTATACCGGCCGTCTCTTTCTTAAAGACCTTCACAAAAACCCTTGTTGAAAAGAAATCATTGTTATGATCAAATTGAAAATTTGCACACTACGGGATCTGTCGCTAGCAAAAACCATAAAAAGTCACTTAGAAATTTATGGTTTAGTTTTAAACAAGTTGTTTTATTTCCTTCTGTTTTATTAGAAATTTTTAATATTAAAGTTTCAGCTTCACCAAACCTTTAATTTTGGTAACTGTGTAAAGCTAACAGACTAAATGATATCATTGCATTTTTGGTTTATGGTGTTCTTTGGGATGATGCGTGAGTATGATTGTAATTTTTTTTAGTCATATGGATTAAGGCTCAACATTTATTAGTCGAAAATAAAAGCTTATCAAAATTGAAATTTAGAAGTTAGGGCATAAATTGATCCCAAATTTAATATGATTTCATATGACATTTCATTGTGTTCCTTTTTTTTTTTATGTGAGTTACTTATTGAAATTAGAAATTAACAGGACTTTATTGAATAAATTCTTGCAAGTTTATCTGAAATCACCTACCCAGAGTTGTCAGTACATTGGTGGTTTAAAGAACTACTTGCTATTGTATGAAGGACCACAAATAACAAACTGAAAAGGGAAAAAAGAAATTATAAAATGCATGCCCAATTCTGAAACTTGATAATTATATTTGGAAATTACAGCTCTATTTCATGATTAATGTTCCCTTTCCATGAATTGCATTAGAGGTAAAGCCTTTATTTTGTTAACGGTTGTCTGCACACAATATTACATGCTCACGTAAAACTAAAGATTTGAATAGTCCAAAAAGATTCTTAACCAAAAAAAAAAAAAACACAAATGGTAATGTGATTGCCATCTACATTATGTGTAAATGTTATTATAGTTTTGCGATTTTCATGTTATGTTATGAATATTGTTTGCGCAATATTAGCTGTTTTTCTTCTCGATTGTGTAAGCAATTTCAATCACCAACCCTTTACTACTCTCTTTCCTCCTCATTTTGATTGCAGACATGGATTCTTTTCGAATGCCAGCTTTTGTATGAAGCATGGTGAAGCTAAATCCTAAGTCCGATGCCGTGTCTGCCGAAGTAGTATTCATGTAAATAGTTTATCTTCGATTAATAACTGTAAAGATGCTAAAGACGCAATGATTATATGTTTGTTTTTATAACAAAATTACGCATTATAACACTCATATGTGATCTTTTTAATTTGATGTGATGAATTCTATTGAAACAGTGAGTTAACATCGCATTAACTTAGAAGAAGAAAAAACAAATCTGATTTTACTCCATCCTTTTGATTAGAATAAATAAAGTGTTACGTTTAATTGGGTTGCCACCTATACAATAACGTACCATGCTCGCTAAACTTTTATTTACTCTATTTAAAAATGTTTAGATAAAAATTAAAAACATTAGCAGTCATGTACCCGTGTGAAGGCACGAGTCCAAAATCTAGTTATTTATTATGTGAAAAGGAAATGTTCCTAAAATTGTTTTAGGAATGACTTGTTACTTCATGATCACTGATAGCCTATTTACCACCGTATAATTTCTATAAAATTTAACCTAAAAACATTGGTCATATGCCTTCAATGGTATTTCCAAGATATTGAGAAGATTGCAATATGCGAATCAATGTAACACTATGGAAGGAAAGCCGTTTAGTCAAAATTGTCTTAGGATTATTAATTTATGGTTAATTACTTTGTACTTTTTTGTTTGATTTCTCGGATCAAAATTTAGACTGGTTGTTTAATTGATCGTGGACTCATCTCTAGTAGATGAACAAGTATGTCAATGGTACATTCATGTAACCAATATATGTTAATTTGAATGTGGTATGTATGTACCCGTTGCATAAGATTGTTTGAAGTTCATCGTTTTCAATATTTTTAAATTGGAAATGTGTTGAGAATTAAAATCCCAAATCATAAATAATTAACACACATTAGAAATCAAATAAGTACACAACATACAATTTAACTTGGTTCGATCTCTCAATAGATCTACGAGAAAAATATACCATCACTATTAGATTTGAAAGATAAAAGAATTTACAACTGTAGATCCTCTCTACACATTGCATCTCACACTCAATTTTCTTTTTCCTCCCATATCTCCCTTATGGCTACATTGTATTCTCTAACTAATTTTAGTACTAACATCACGTTTTTATACTAAAATCCTATCTCACTAACAGGGCTAGTAATAACCTAACCCTATTAGGCTTTGGACTTTGAGTAGATAACTTAACAAAATGCGATCCATATTTATTGCTTAGACTCGACGTCGATATTTTAGACATATATGGATCAAATTAACGGGGGGTGGGGGGGCGGGGGACCTTCATCGTAGAGAGGGCACAGAGTGAGATAATTGTTAAATACTTAAGTCTATTATAAATTTACACTAATGATTGATGAAAAATAAATTGATTTTGATTTTTCGTTTCATGTTAATATTTATTCCAAAATATTAATGTTTGGCCAATTTGATACTCTCCCTCCCTCTTCTTCTTCTTCTTTTTTTTTTTTTTTTTTCCTTTTTCCCTCATAAAAATGGTTAGATTTATATGATCAGATTCCCCAAGCTAACCGTTAATAAGTCGCAATGAAAAGACTACAAATTAACTTAACATAGAAGCTTCATCTTAACTTGAAAACAAGTGAAAAACTTTTGTCCTACATTAGAAATTCTATATAATCTTACTTAACTAACATATAAGTCCCATGTACTAATTTTTTTATTATTAATTTATTTTGAGGTGAACCTATATATGGGGTTATATACAGCTTCAAGACATCACAAATAAAATTATGATTGAAACATAACATTATTGATTGGCTTCTCATCTCTCCTGTGTACTCGGACAATTCTGTGGTTGCTCCGAAAAATCCTTTCTTTCTCGTCCAGTCGGGGCCGGGTGCGGAGCGAAAGAGTTTTCCATGAAATGGAAAATGAAAACTATTACCCCCACACGAAATTATGGTTTGTTAAGTTTTGACCTATAGCTAACAATGAAAAAGTAAAGAAAAAAGCTTTGTGAAATATTTGGTTAGATAATTGCCAAAGAAAGTCACTAATTTTCAAGATCTAATTATATAAATGACGATTAGATTTGCAAATATCGTCATTATTTCCCATTACAGTTAACTGAGTTCTCCTTTCCGACAATGAAATGCAAAAAGGTCAACTATTAGTGTTAGTATTTATTTTCTTTTTCGCCTACTCCTACATAGTGCTATCGAGTCAATGAGTCAGCAGATGCAAGACGAAAACATATGTACATGCTGAGTTTTGATACGTTTTAGGGTTCTTGACTAATTTCATGCACGAATGCGAAGATGACAATTAAGGATATAAAGTTTCCGTCTGAACGTTTTAAGTGCATTACGTGAATGAAAGAAAAACAAGTACAATAGAACTTCTATAAATTAATAGTGTTGGGACCATCAAAATTTATTAATTTAGAGAATTATTAAATAACCGTAAATGAATAAATTATGAATTTAAAGAATTTCTTTGAGAAAAAGAAACAGTCACTAAATTCCTTAATTTGTCAATTGTCTTTACATCCGAATTGATCAAGTATTAAAATTGTTCTAACTACTAAAAGTCCATATATAGTTCATATCTTCTCGACATACTAAAAAAATAAGTATATGTAGTTCATATTTCGCTAAATATTTATAATAATAATTATTTTTTTTGTTGCTTTTAGGGTTTTATTAATTAATAGTATTTTTGAGACCTATAGATATATAGGAGATTTTCTGAAACGTTATTATCTTATTACTTTATTAATTTTGTTCACTTTTTGTATTGGTCCCAAGTTGGGACCGAAGAAAATTATTAATTGATAGAAGTTATTAATTTATAGATTATTAATTTACCGACGTTCTACTGTATACCTCCGTCCCGGAATTATTGTCCACTTTACATTTTCATTTTTAGTTCAAATTGTACTAAAAGTGAAATCTCAAACTGGACAATAATTTTGGGACGGAGGGAATATGCATTATTACTTACAGCTGTTGTCTGAGTCGCTGGCTTATTGATCCTTGTTCCACCTATACTTAATTAATTGCTTTAATTTCTTAGTTTAAATTTTGGTTTGAATCTAAAAACGACTGTTTGTATTTCTATAAATTGTAACAATCTTTGTCAAAATAAAATGTGGTGCGTTATTTTAATTTAGCAAAATGACTCAACTATTGGACAAAGAGTACATTGTATTTGACTTAGGATTTCGTATGCATTCCTACACCGCATGCCATATTTGACTTGCTCTCCAACTTCAAGAAGAATCCTCAACTGCATTAGATTAAAAGAAAAAAGATATAGTAAAACACTACATATAGCTTTCAGATAGTATACATTTCCCCGACGAAACACGTAGCACTAGAAAAATAAAAAGAATAAATTACTTCAACGTACGCAGAGTACTAGTTAATTGAGATTTTGTCAAAAAAGAGACCTATGATCGATCTAGATCAGAACAATAACTCTCGACACCAAAAGTGTAATATTTAAAAAAAAAAGGTTGTACGTTTCCTCATTTCCTTCAATTTGCCTCTCCTAAAATAGAATACGGAAGTTATTAATTGTAGATTTGGACTTCTACCAATAACAACAATTAATCATCACATATCCATTGCTCCAACGCCCAACTACATCTCGATGGAGTCAATAAGATCATGAAACGGTAGTTGATTTCTTTCCCTTCATTCCCATTGTGATTTGAGCTGATTTTTCCTATAAAAAGGATCATTCTCGTTCAATCTTCTGCACAATTGAGTTCGAAAGATAGTTAAAAAAAAAAACAGAAAAAGGAAAGAAGAAGAATTAAAGATGGGCTCGAAGGCTCTCATTTTCGCTTGCATAGCCTTGTTTTTGGCTATAATGATCACTTCCGAGGTTTCTGCTCGGCAGTTGGCTGAGGAGAACTCCAACCCATCTGAAGAACGTAAGATACATAAATCTTTGCGTGTTATTGAACAATTATTCATTTTTTGAGTTTTATGTCATTGTTTTTTCAAGTTTTCACTACTTTCTTACAAACTGATTGTAACTTTTCATGTTGGTACTAATTAACCGCAGCAAAAACAACTGAGACCGCTGCAGGGTTTGAGGAAGCCAAGCACTATGGAGGTGGCTACGGCGGATACCGTGGCGGAGGATATGGTCGTGGAGGTGGTTACGGTGGTGGATATGGTGGCGGATATGGCCGTGGTGGTGGTTATGGTAGAGGTGGCGGCTATGGTCGCGGAGGTGGTTACGGCAGAGGTGGTGGTTATGGAGGCGGTGGTGGATACGGTGGTGGTGGCGGTTATGGCGGAGGAGGCGGTTACGGTGGTGGTGGAGGTTACGGAGGAGGTGGTGGTTATGGTGGCGGCCGTGGCGGTGGCTATGGTGGCGGGAATGGAGGCTATGCTCACGAGGCAAATAACGAGCCCTAAAATTATAAATTGGAATAGGTTTTTGAAAGGAGCTCACTACAATAACAATAAGTATATGTTTTCTCCCATAAAAATATAGCCTTTATTTGTTGGCTCTATTGATTCAACAAAAAAGATAATCCATTTAAGATCGAGGGAGTGTATCTTTTTGTATTTTGGCGTTTGAAATTTTAATAAGAGCTTCATCAGTTATTAAAATTGCTTCAGAAATGACAAATTTTGTGAGTGTTGTTGCTTGAGTTAATACTTGTTGAGAAAGTTTTATCTCTCAAAAGATACCTACTCGACTCGAATTTGAATTAGTTGGAACAATGATTTCGGACACTGGGTGTGTAATATAGGAAAAAGAAAATAAAAAATTCTTCACATGCTCAAACGTGAGGGGGATTCAAAGGCTCTAATTAATCCACACAATTCTATTTCCTATATTCCAAAATAATTATTCTGGTTAGATTTTCACATTTAGTACGATTAGTACAAAAAATAAATATTCGAATTGGTCAATTATTATTAGAAAAAAAGGAATATAATTTGAAGGATGAAATATCTTTCGAGCTTCATCAACTGAATGAAGTGCTATATTAGGTCAAATCGGTTAGTCATGGAATCGGAATTCACATAGCGAAAAGAAAGGATGGAAAAAAACTAATTTCCGTAACACATCTTTCGTCCCATGATTTAAACATGTTTGGTTGACAATTATACTTTTGCAAAGATAATTATCATTGTCGGACAGAGAGATAGTAGTACATAGATGCAGAAGTATGTTAGTTCTCCCTACATCAACGAATAGAAGAAAGGTATAAATCATCCACGCAATATAACTTTGGAGCTATACCATTACGTAGCATGAACATGAAATTTTATTTCTAAAAAAAAAGAAATACAAATTTTGCACAAACCTAGATTATAACAATGATTTCAAACATCAAGTATCATATAAATAGATAAATTTATACCATTTACTTATGAAGTGAAAAAGGAGACTTGTTTGTATCAGAACCTATAAACTAAAGAACAAAAGAAAAAGGAATTAATTGTTACTTCATGATCACAGATTCAGCAGCATATAGCTACTATATATAAATATAGGGCGGTGATTATACCAAAACGAATTTTAGCATACGGAGCAAATTTTAGCATCCGTCTTCAAAAGAACTTCTTGCTGCCTCTCCTCGAAACCTATCCTCAGCCGCTCTAGTCATGGCAAAACATGAAATCTGAAAATTTGTTTTCTTCAAGTTCTAACCGTAGGTGATATCATTGAGAGCCATATTTAACCTGATATCTATTTTAATCCAGTTGTAGACAACAATTCGGTCTGAAATAAATTAATACTTGTTTGAATCAATGAATCAATGATTTGATATTCGGAACATATTAATACGGTAAATAATCACCAAAATCCAAGTCCGTTGCTGAAAAAAAAAATTGAGCATAAAGATGCATCGGTTTGTAACAACAAAGGAGCCTCTAATAAATTTTTTTTGCCTTCATAGTTTATTGGTGGAATTAAAACCTCAACTCACCGAATCCAAAAATTGAGCCCAAACACATCCCAGAAAAATTGAGTTTAGATTTTCCAGGACTTATAGTCAAACACAAATCCCAGAAAATTAAAAATCCTTTACTAATCAAGGCCATGAAAGATGAAACACAATGGTGGTGGCAGGGGAGGAGGAGCACCGTCGTTAGAGAAGGGCTGATGAGTTTGAAAGATGATGATAATTGTGTAATTAAGGATGGATAATTTTGTAATTTTATAGCAGAATTTGTTTTGGATGCTAAAAATTATTGTGGTAAAATCACTAGCCATAAATATATCTTACACACATCATTCAATTGCATTTACACAATCTTGTTGTATTCAGTTAAAATGATTGAGGACTGCAGTACACTAAATTAGATGTATTCTAACACCACGGAAATTCATTACTGCAGTTGTGTTGACGAATTTTTGGTTGGAAATTTGCCAAAGAGATGGGTCGCTTGTAATATGCTAAAAAGTTGCATTAATTGTTCTCTTTTTCACGTCAAATTAACACTGGCAAATATCATCATAATTTTCGCATAACCTTTTTTAGCGAGTTATACCCTTCCAGTCCTCATCGTGAAATGTAAAAAAATGTCAACTATTAATACCATTTTTCAACAACTCCTTAGTGCTATCAAGTCAATAGAGGACAAAAGGATGTACTTGCTGAGGTTTGATGTTTCCAGGGCCGCTGACTTAATTGCATTTATTACTTGAGAAATAACACATTTTGGAATAAAAGTTACAGATGCCTGGAAAGTGTTCATATGCGTAAGTACAAAATTTATAAGCTGTAAGATGTCTAGAGGACTAGGATTTCGATCTAAACATCATTTTTTGCAGTCAGCTTTCGACAATTTTACAGGAGTAATAGGGAAACCTATATCTCATAGGAAATGATCCTTTCTCAAAGCCAACTATCCGTTCAATTTGTTCTTTCCTAGCTTCTGATACCCCAACAAAAAGTATTTGGGACTTAGTAAGATTAGATTGTAAACCAGTGGTGGCAACAAACTCTTCTAATTTTTGTTTAACTAGAGAGACTGATTGTTCTTCTGCCTTCCACACTATGATAAGATCATCAGCAAAAGACAGATTTACTACGTCCTCACACATTGGATGATATTGACACACGGCCTTTTTATTATCTTCCTGGAGTCCAGTGAGATACTCCATCAGGATAACAAATGGAAGGGGAGAAATGGGATCACCCTGGCGTATACCTCTTTTTCCCTTAAATAAATCCACCATAATCCATGTAATTGACAGAAAAAGTACCACTGGAAAGCGTTTTTCACAAAACGTCCAGCTACATTTGAATGACATAATTTGGGAGACAAATATAATTCTGATCCCTCTCTCCCGAAATTATTTCCAAGTTTGGATTTTCAGTTTTATTACTAAAACTGGAAATCCAAACTGAACTAGACAATAATTTCGGGGCGAATCGGAGTAATTTTTTCCTTTCGACTTAAACTTAGCACAACATAAGTGAATTCCTGAGACTAAATTCCAATCATGGTTTCATTAGTAAATGTCTTAATTTCATGAAGATCAAGGTTTTTACACTTGTAATACGCGAGGTATTTATGCGCAAAGCATGTCGTTCTGGTAACAATATGCAATTGATACACTAAGTGACACATCAAATTGATGAAGTTCAAATATAAAAATGTTAATGCAATTGTTAATACAATTAATACTCTATTTAATTTTTTTTCCTGAAAAAAGCAGGACAGGCCTGGATGGGATTACCCTTTACATTGATTTAAAAGTATTACATAAAACATGGGTACCTACACTAACCTCTTTAAACGAAAACAAAAAAAGTGCACATTAAAATTGTCACCAGCTTCTAATATATGGCATTGAATACCAATCATATCTAAGTACTGTCTTCAATCTTCTTGGACCTTCACTGCGGTGTTCCCTTCTCATGGCTCCTTATCATTATCTTCCTTTTGGTAGAGCAATGTTTTCAATCTTGTTCCCTCAGTGCCAATTCTAGCAATTCTTCCGGCAGAGTTGAAAAAGATGATAAAGTCCTCAACATCAATGAGGGTAAAAGGACAAATCTGATTTCACTTTCCTCATCGTTCCAGCTTCCTTTGAATCATTCAACGGAGTTGTTGTTGGCGCAGACATTGTCGACAACGAGGGCGACGATCGTACCAGCCTCAACTTCCTTAACAAAGCCTTGTTTTTCTCCTCTTCAACTTCAGTTTTAGGTCTTGTCATCAAATTATGGAAACTAAGTCCTGAAGATCCCCGGAACATTGCCAAATCCACACCAATGTTTCCCTCATCACAAATTGCAGCCGAAACGTTCAAGATCCTGGGGAAGTTTCCGGAGGGGCGGTGAACATAAACCGGGGTGATCACCTTTCCCAAAACGTTACAGAGAATGCATCTGGCGGTGCCGACAACGGTTATCCTTGAACCGGTGACACCCAACGGTGTAGATCTCCACGTTGAAAGCGCAGTGGCGCATTGACGATGTCGGAAGAAACCCTAAGAGAAATTTGTCGTTCCAAGAAGGGTTTTCACCACCTAGAGAGTCAGTTCGAGTTTGCAATTTGTTGGACGAATCCGCAACCCAAACAGCGTAGGTTTGAGTCCTGCTTTTGCTCTTCGAAGAAACCTTCAACCCTTGAGCGGACACTATGTCTCCAGAACTGATTCACCACAGCTTTTCTTCTTCTTCTCCTCCATCATCAGGGAGAAGATGAGTACCTCAAGATTGTTTACTTTTGCTTTTTTGCTTTCTTTTTTCCTAAAAGCTTTATGGGAAAACCTGCCCCATGTATGTGCATATTTATATGCCTAAATACAATTTGGAATCGGTTGCTTTATATCTTTTTCCTAAAAGAGTTATGGAAAGGAAAAACTGTACGCGTGGTTATTAATCATTATTTCTTGTTTGGTAACAATCCTTTAGACAACGGTGTGGTTTTTTTTTGTAATTAGAAACTCTTTTGACTTGACTAGCCTAGTAGGACTAGTATACATAGAAAACAAACTACATTCTATTAATTTTTACAAATTATAGTTGGACTTGTATGTACATAGTTTCACCAATGAAACTTTTGGATTGAAACAAATCTGATCCTTAATTAGGTGTAATTTATTTTTTGAATTTTTTTTCTGGTTTTCTTGCATATCTTAAATGTGTTTATGGTCGATAATAATGACTAATCTCTTCTATTAAATTACAACTTAGGTGTGGTATAATCTCCTAATTATTTTGATGGCAACAACATTTCTGCCCTAAAAAAGAACCTCATGAGCGCTTTTCAGAGTCTATAGTAGCGTTCCAAGAAACCTACTTTGCAGCAAGTTTCCATTTTCGAAGGTGCAAGGCAGCAAGGTTATCCCTCGAGCAAAGGAATTCTCCACCCATTAAAATCACAAAAAGCGCACCCAAACTGAGAAGATATTGGACTCTCAAAAAATAACTTGATGTTTT